CAAGGACTTTCAAGAAAACATTTCCCATTTTTCAAGCACTCCATTCAATGCAAAAAAGAGCCCTGAGTATGTCTTTTTTAGTTCTTCCACAACATGAGTAATTTTATCCTGAAGGTGTTTCTGTGTTTGCCTCCTTTTAGCTACTCGAGAATCTGGGTTGGATAAAGTTAGCACCAGAATTCAAGGATTTTCCAGCATCGACTGCAATTTTCAAGAATTTTGAAGTCCTTGATTTTCAAGGACTTTCAAGGTGCGCGCGAACCCTGTGAATATACCAACCAATCCCATAATTTCACAAATTTGAATTTCTTTGACGTCACACTCTATTTGAAAGCTTATTAGATACGACTGAGACTACTACGAGACACAAAATCGCCTATGCGCCTAACTATAAAAGCGGTTCATCTTTGTAAAAACAGGGTGTTTTTTTTTCTCTAGAGAAAGAGAACTCCAAAAATCTGTCGTCGTAAATTATGTGGTGTAAAATAGCTATTTATTAATTTTCGAATCGTCGGCAGATATTTACTGCGTTAATCTTTCTTTATATGGAAGCAAGTGATATTTGTACCACAATTTAAAATTGCTTTTCAAATGATCATTGACTTTACATTGAAATGAAAGCTTGTTATTTTGAAGAAGGAAAAATATATTTTTGCTGAGAACAAAGATGTATAGAATAATTAGTTACCGTAATCATCTTTTCATTTTCCTTAAAATTTCGAGCGTCTCTGCGTTGAAAACGCTTTGCGCCCGAGTAAAATTATGATGGCAAATGGCGCCCACGATAACACCAGTTTTAGTTTACAAACACTATAACTGTGTAAATTTCCAAAAACGTTTAGTAAATTAGCAGCGGATTGGTATTATCTTAAACTCTCAACAGTGAAAGTAGTAACCTTAGCTTTGAAGCAGTTTGCTAAGTTTTTGCTAATTTTTCTCGTTAGGCCGCGGTGGAACTTTAAGGTCGCTCTAATTGGCAATGATCCCAGCCTCCAACATTTCATGAAACCGCCATTTTGAGGCAGCTCCAGAGACTGGGTCGGTGTTGCATGTGTTGACTGTTTTGGGGACATAATAACCTCTTTCATTGGCTGGTACCACGAATTGCTGGTTTGCACGTGACGTCACGGCGGCCATGATGGTGATCAAGAACAAAGGTGTTTCTCTCCCCTGGGAAGTAAACACCGTTTTAAAGGTCGGTACACACTAGGCGACAAGTTGCTGCAACACGTCGCGGCGACAGATCACTCTGTGTGTACAGGTCGGGCGACTAGTTGCAGCAACAAGGTGAGGCGACACGTCGCAGCGACAAATCGCTTCGTGTGTACTGGAGAATTTTTGTGAAAATCTTTGTCTCCGCAACATAATTTTGTCGCTGTAACAAGTCGCAAAAAATCAAATCAGACTGAATCTGTGCGACTTGTTGCGGCGACAAATTCTGTTGCAGCGACAAAGATTTTCACAAAAATTCTCCAGTACACACGAAGCGATTTGTCGCTGCAACGTTTCGCCGCGACAAGTTGCTGCAACTTGTCGCCTAGTGTGTACCGACCTTAAGGCAAATTCTTCAAAAAATTGTTTATTGCAATGACCACCAACATGGCTGCCTTGTCACGTGACTAATACCACGAACAGACCTTTTGGGCTTGGATGTTTTGTTTTCCCACCTCAAACCACGTGATGGTACCCCAGAGAACTGTTTTCTTTGGAATGTCGTCCTATGAAAAGACCAAAGGCCAATTCCCTGGAGAACATCACTTGGTCTGAATTTGGAAAAACAAAACATACAAGCTAAAAATGGGATGTTACGTAAACGGAAAACAAGCACGGGGAACGGGAAAATGAGAAATGGAAACAAAACCTAAGTTAAACCCTAGCTCTATCAGTAACTTCATTTCCAATTCTCTGTTTTTTCCCCATTTTTCTATTTCCCGCTCCCCGACCTCGTTCCCGGCTCCCCGTTCCACGTTTCAGTAACATCTGAGTCAAAACTCGTTCCAAAAACAGTCAACTGGACACTGAACTCTTATGCAACCCCAAAATCAAAATAGTCAACGTAAAGGAAGAGTAAAAAACTGAGACTATTTTAAATCTATTTACTTATTAAACCTTATTTAAAATCTTCAGCCAGGTTTCTAAATAGCCAACTTGCCAGTTGGTCTCTCTTTATGAATCCTGCGTTCTATTTGCACTTTTCAAAATTTCATATTATTTAAGTGGCGCGCTTGAAAACTATTGTAGTTAGGGCAGCTAAGTACACTTCACTACACACAAGGCCTTTGCTATATATTATTCACATGGATTGAAACTTGAAAACGTGAGGACAACTTTTTCAAGTTTTAGGCCATGCCTGCTAAAATCACCCAAAACTATTATGGTTTTTGCTTCATAATGAATTTTTTTTTAGTATCTTCTTCATAACTCTACTGGATCATTTTATGTATGGGTAAAAGCAGTAAGCGATGACTTGAGCAAAGAATTGACCTAAAACAGCAGTATTAAATCCTCGTGTCATAGCCCCCTTAAATTCATTTTTAACTTTTTACAGTTTTCTTAGTTTATTTCAGGCTAGATTTCCGCCGCTTCCTCGGGACCAGTCTCGTTCCTCCCCGATAAGGGGCTAGTGCTCAAACCTATGCATACTTACGCTCTATTAGGAGCCTATCGGGCAAATTTAATAAACACACGCGAAACTTACAGCGCGTAAACTTTCATAATCTTTATTCTTGTTTGATCGTGGTATACTCCCATCCTCCTTCACCGTCCAATTTCAAATTGTAATCGTGAAACTGAGGAAATAAAATGACACAGCAGATTTGAAAACTCGTTTGTCTGTTGCTGCAAATCGCTACCGCTCCACTATTTTCAGTGTATTTATCTTGTTGTTGTTGATTTCTTTCACGCCAATTGGTCGAGAGCTATGGCCTTATTTGGTGAATAATACGCACGTTGTGATTGGTCGTCGTCCATGATCTATTAGAGAACAGACACTAATGACGACACCGAAAACGTGTTTTCTTTGTTTTGCCAAAATAGCGCACGGTTTTCTGTACTCATTCTGTCTTCTCATTGGCTAAGAGCCTGTCGTTAATTTTGGAAATCAGCGCGAACTGCAGATTACACGCTAGCAGATCATATCTTTATTGTTATTATTATCTTTTTTAATATACAGCTTCTCATCATACGATGTTTTTTTATCGAACACTTCACTACCTAAAAAAATTAAATATTTACTTAAATACTATTGGTTACGATTAACCTTTAACCAACTACCAAATTATAACTGAAAATAGATACTAATCTCATTAATCTCATACTCAGATCTTTCCAAAATTACGCAAGTGAGTCATCGGTCGGATTGCCGCGAGACATGCGGGACTTGTACGCCTTCTTGCTCGCTAACTAAAGATGAGAGGTGATGACATCATAAAAGCGAAATTTGTGAAATTATAGGATAGGTTGGCATATCAAGAATGAAAACGATGAAAAATGTCCACTTGCTAAAAATGAGCGTGTTGGAGCAAATTGGTGCATTTTCTTTTTTTTTTTGGAAATTAACTTTGTTCTAAACACCATTCCAAGAGCAACTTTATGTAAAATCTTGATTTTTTACGCTTTTCCTATATCCCAGAAACGGCTCGATAGAATTCTTTATACAACTCATCACATAACTTTAGATCCTTCTAAGGGCCTGTTTACATGGAGGTGGGGGACCCCAAGTAGGTGAGGAAACCCGCTTAGGTGGGGTAACCCGCCTGTCCATATACAGTCTCTCTTTTTAATGTGATTAGGTTTACATGTTAGGTGGGGTAACTTGCCACATGTTACCTCACCTACCTGGGTCCCCCAACTTCATGTAAACAGGCCCTAAAAGAGGCCTGGAGTCATCAGAACATAACGGTGTTCATCACTCTCCCACAGTTTGTACTAACGGGCTGTTTTTTTTTTTGCCAAGAGGGCCTTTTTCATTTTGTCCTTTTTGAAGTAACAGGGTTCGTACCCTTTTTTGAACAAAATGTTCTAGGACTTTTCAAGGACTTTCAAGAAAACATTTCCCATTTTTCAAGCACTCCATTCAATGCAAAAAAGAGCCCTGAGTATGTCTTTTTTAGTTCTTCCACAACATGAGTAATTTTATCCTGAAGGTGTTTCTGTGTTTGCCTCCTTTTAGCTACTCGAGAATCTGGGTTGGATAAAGTTAGCACCAGAATTCAAGGATTTTCCAGCATCGACTGCAATTTTCAAGAATTTTGAAGTCCTTGATTTTCAAGGACTTTCAAGGTGCGCGCGAACCCTGTGAATATACCAACCAATCCCATAATTTCACAAATTTGAATTTCTTTGACGTCACACTCTATTTGAAAGCTTATTAGATACGACTGAGACTACTACGAGACACAAAATCGCCTATGCGCCTAACTATAAAAGCGGTTCATCTTTGTAAAAACAGGGTGTTTTTTTTTCTCTAGAGAAAGAGAACTCCAAAAATCTGTCGTCGTAAATTATGTGGTGTAAAATAGCTATTTATTAATTTTCGAATCGTCGGCAGATATTTACTGCGTTAATCTTTCTTTATATGGAAGCAAGTGATATTTGTACCACAATTTAAAATTGCTTTTCAAATGATCATTGACTTTACATTGAAATGAAAGCTTGTTATTTTGAAGAAGGAAAAATATATTTTTGCTTAGAACAAAGATGTATAGAATAATTAGTTACCGTAATCATCTTTTCATTTTCCTTAAAATTTCGAGCGTCTCTGCGTTGAAAACGCTTTGCGCCCGAGTAAAATTATGATGGCAAATGGCGCCCACGATAACACCAGTTTTAGTTTACAAACACTATAACTGTGTAAATTTCCAAAAACGTTTAGTAAATTAGCAGCGGATTGGTATTATCTTAAACTCTCAACAGTGAAAGTAGTAACCTTAGCTTTGAAGCAGTTTGCTAAGTTTTTGCTAATTTTTCTCGTTAGGCCGCGGTGGAACTTTAAGGTCGCTCTAATTGGCAATGATCCCAGCCTCCAACATTTCATGAAACCGCCATTTTGAGGCAGCTCCAGAGACTGGGTCGGTGTTGCATGTGTTGACTGTTTTGGGGACATAATAACCTCTTTCATTGGCTGGTACCACGAATTGCTGGTTTGCACGTGACGTCACGGCGGCCATGATGGTGATCAAGAACAAAGGTGTTTCTCTCCCCTGGGAAGTAAACACCGTTTTAAAGGTCGGTACACACTAGGCGACAAGTTGCTGCAACACGTCGCGGCGACAGATCACTCTGTGTGTACAGGTCGGGCGACTAGTTGCAGCAACAAGGTGAGGCGACACGTCGCAGCGACAAATCGCTTCGTGTGTACTGGAGAATTTTTGTGAAAATCTTTGTCTCCGCAACATAATTTTGTCGCTGTAACAAGTCGCAAAAAATCAAATCAGACTGAATCTGTGCGACTTGTTGCGGCGACAAATTCTGTTGCAGCGACAAAGATTTTCACAAAAATTCTCCAGTACACACGAAGCGATTTGTCGCTGCAACGTTTCGCCGCGACAAGTTGCTGCAACTTGTCGCCTAGTGTGTACCGACCTTAAGGCAAATTCTTCAAAAAATTGTTTATTGCAATGACCACCAACATGGCTGCCTTGTCACGTGACTAATACCACGAACAGACCTTTTGGGCTTGGATGTTTTGTTTTCCCACCTCAAACCACGTGATGGTACCCCAGAGAACTGTTTTCTTTGGAATGTCGTCCTATGAAAAGACCAAAGGCCAATTCCCTGGAGAACATCACTTGGTCTGAATTTGGAAAAACAAAACATACAAGCTAAAAATGGGATGTTACGTAAACGGAAAACAAGCACGGGGAACGGGAAAATGAGAAATGGAAACAAAACCTAAGTTAAACCCTAGCTCTATCAGTAACTTCATTTCCAATTCTCTGTTTTTTCCCCATTTTTCTATTTCCCGCTCCCCGACCTCGTTCCCGGCTCCCCGTTCCACGTTTCAGTAACATCCGAGTCAAAACTCGTTCCAAAAACAGTCAACTGGACACTGAACTCTTATGCAACCCCAAAATCAAAATAGTCAACGTAAAGGAAGAGTAAAAAACTGAGACTATTTTAAATCTATTTACTTATTAAACCTTATTTAAAATCTTCAGCCAGGTTTCTAAGTAGCCAACTTGCCAGTTGGTCTCTCTTTATGAATCCTGCGTTCTATTTGCACTTTTCAAAATTTCATATTATTTAAGTGGCGCGCTTGAAAACTATTGTAGTTAGGGCAGCTAAGTACACTTCACTACACACAAGGCCTTTGCTATATATTATTCACATGGATTGAAACTTGAAAACGTGAGGACAACTTTTTCAAGTTTTAGGCCATGCCTGCTAAAATCACCCAAAACTATTATGGTTTTTGCTTCATAATGAATTTTTTTTAAGTATCTTCTTCATAACTCTACTGGATCATTTTATGTATGGGTAACAGCAGAAAGCGATGACTTGAGCAAAGAATTGACCTAAAACAGCAGTATTAAATCCTCGTGTCATAGCCCCTTTAAATTCATTTTTAACCTTTTAAAGTTTTCTTAGTTTATTTCAGGCTAGATTTCCGCCGCTCCCTCGGGACCAGTCTCGTTCCTCCCCGATAAGGGGCTAGTGCTCAAACCTATGCATACTTACGCTCTATTGGGAGCCTATCGGGCAAATTTAATAAACACACGCGAAACTTACAGCGCGTAAACTTTCATAATCTTTATTCTTGTTTGATCGTGGTATACTCCCATCCTCCTTCACCGTCCAATTTCAAATTGTAATCGTGAAACTGAGGAAATAAAATGACACAGCAGATTTGAAAACTCGTTTGTCTGTTGCTGCAAATCGCTGCCGCTCCACTATTTTCAGTGTATTTATCTTGTTGTTGTTGATTTCTTTCACGCCAATTGGTCGAGAGCTATGGCCTAATTTGGTGAATAATACGCACGTTGTGATTGGTCGTCGTCCATGATCTACTAGAGAACAGACACTAATGACGACACCGAAAACGTGTTTTCTTTGTTTTGCCAAAATAGCGCACGGTTTTCTGTACTCATTCTGTCTTCTCATTGGCTAAGAGCCTGTCGTTAATTTTGGAAATCAGCGCGAACTGCAGATTACACGCTAGCAGATCATATCTTATCTCTAGATTGCGCGTGCAATGCATGATTACTAAGAGCAATACAGTAGAACCTCGATATAACGAACCTCTATAGAGCGTTTTCACTCACGTGGAACAAAACAAATCGCTCCTACAGGATTGGTTTGGTACACCAACATGGCCACCATTTCATTGTTTTGGAACACCAATACGGCCGCTGTGACGTCATGTGAAAACGCTCTATACAACAAAGTCTTCGGTATAACGGACAATTTTCTTTACCCCAATGATAGCAAAATATATCGACAAGAACCTCGATATAACGAAACCTCGTTATAGCGGACAAATTTTGTCATTCCCTTGGCCCTTCGTTATATCGAGGTTTCAATGTATAAATTCTTTTCGGAATTTAATAAACTGTTCATTGTGACAGTGAGTTTGTCGTTATTTCTTCAAAACATGAACAATAAAACGATTAGACTCCACCGGTTTTTGTGATATCACTCACCGAGAACATTTACCCAGACCTTGATAATTGCGGATATTACAAAGCCTCGTCCTTTTTGTAAAGGTGTTTAGTATACAAAACAATAAACTAATCATAGGTAAAATTTAAACCTCAGTTATTTCTAATCAGCCTTCGGAACTTAATACCTCAATTGTGGCACTAGACCGACCTACCTGCTTCAATGATTCTCTGTGGCCAACACTAACGACAGTGATTTCATACTGCTTACACATTGAATACAGTGTTGTCTCTGAGGGCTCATCCAACGCACTAGTAGCCTCGTCAAGGACTGATTGTCAAACCAAAAAGACAAATTTAATAACAACGGAAAATATATATAAAAAAATGTTATTTTTTCATGGTAATTATTACGCTTATGGCCCATGGAACTTAGCACAAACGAAGAAACTACATGCAAACAACAAAATCACAGCTTCTCTTCCGACAAATATACTTTCCAAGCAGAGCAGTATACCAAACGTTACAAACAACAAAAAAGAAACTTTTTTTAAAAAAAGTTTTAGGCTAACAAGCTTTTCGAAACCCACGATTTCAACATGTTTTAATCTTCTTCAAGTTTGTCTATCGGTGCCTACTTTTGTCTTTGCTGTGTCATTTCTTTCTTTTAATGTTTTGAGTGATTATTGTTATGTTTCACTCAATCTGGTGGTAGTTCCTACTGTTAGAATTTTCCTTTAACGAACTAATGGACATTTTTCTTCCTCGATTAAAGACCAGCAGTTTGCCATCAGATTGTTTTGTTGTCTCTAAAATCTCTTTCCTCCGGAGAGCGATCAAAATTCACTTTGGAAGATATGAAGAAATAAACAGTACCATGTGAAAGCACACCTAACTAGCTTTCATTTGAATGGTCACACTTTCAGATTCGTCCACAGATTCAAAAGTGGGAACCAACTTATTCAGCACAAGAGAGTTCTGGTCAGATCAGTAGCTTTCATTCTAATGAAGGATTTCATCCAGATTAAATATAAGTAAATAAATACATTACCACATGGTTCATTTTTTAGGAAAAACAGTACCACAGACAAGTACTGTTCAGTACATTTCATTTGATTTCAAGTTGAAGTGATGAGGATAATGTCAGTTTAAAACTAAAAATTGACCACTTACGAGCTACAAGTGGGCGATGATAGAACAAACGAGCAAAAGACAGCCTCTGCATTTCGCCAGGCGAAAGCATGTCTTCCCTAGACAAAAGAGAAAGAGAAATGAGGGTTGCCACCGTACCACTGGAGATAAAAGGATTCCTTACCTAAGTTTTATCTGACTTTTAGCTGACAAAAAACACATTTTCCTCCCTTGCGTTTCATGTCTTCTTCATCTTTTTTTTTTCGGCAAATAACAACAATTCTTCTCTTCATTATCGTTGTTATTAAGTAATGTTTATTTGTTTATCTTAAGTACTTATTAATTTAATACGGGACATGAATAACCTAACGGCATTTAAAAGGTAAAAACTTATAGACTACAAATCGTTTTAGGATCAAAACACTTTGCTGTGGAAGCCTAACCTCGTACGCAGATCTCTTGTTCACGGTTTTGTTGACAAGAGATCCGGGTACGAGACTAGTGGAAGCCTAAAAGATAAATAATTCTCCAACCTACACTGACTTAAACAAGAATCAGAATCTTTCCCAGAATTTTTGGCAAAATTGCCTCAACTACCTTGATTCTAGCGGCCTGAAGAAAGGCTAATTAAGATTTTCTGAATGTACATTAAGACGGATTGCGCCTCCTGATTTCAGACCAGGTTGCGTTGTTTTAGTAGAACTCGAAAAAAAGGCGAACAAGTTTCACACAGTTAGCCGTACTACTGCCTATAAAAGCCCAGCAATAACACAAAAATAGAGCTCTGAGGGTGTTATGCACCACCGCCTTTGGCCTCGCCGGATAACGTTGTCCTCGATCCACCGAGTAATTCTTTAGATCACACCCAGCATCATCCAATAATTGCTAAATACCACCACGTAGGTATACTCACCAGTTGAAATCAACCGGGTTGTCCAGACCACCAACTCTACCACACAGAGTCGACTATAAGACAGGGAAAATCAATATGGTTATTTAAAATCAAACGAAGAATAATCCCCGAAGTTGTGAACGCAATTTACGCAATTGCGTAAGAAGCCTGAAAGAAATTCAGGACTTCAATGGGACTTGAACCCGTGACTTCGCGATACCGGTGCGATGCTCTAACCAACTGAGCCATGAAGCCACTGATGTTGGGACCTGGTCAATTATGTGTTCATATGTTCCCGTGAAAGAGATGAATGTGATAGATGTATATGAAATAAATCATATAAGAACAGCGGAAATGAACGCAAATGAACAATGATCCTCGCAGTTGTGAACGCAATTTATGCAATTGTGCTCCATGTCTATCTATCACAATATGGTTATTTAACTATCAAAATGTCTCGCACAAAGAAAGCACATAACGCTAATTGAACACATCGGCGAGTCGGGGCAGTTATTCCAAATGAATGCACCCAAAGGATGTCCTTTTGAAGTGGCGAGAAATCCACCTTTAAATCAAAACGGCGTCATTAAAACAACCGAACCTCCAAGTGCGACAACCTCTCGTAAGCGACTTTTTATCTAGAACAACACAAAAACTTTCCCAGTCAAAGCCTTGTAGCTAGAACATCTCGTGTGCAAGCGCGACCACTTTTAGGGCGATGGTATAATAATTTGCCATTGTTTTTAACATTCTTGTAAGCGACCACTTGTCGCATAATTTGATCTCTATGTTCGCAGTATGTACTACACTACTCAGAGTATATAAAGAACTTTTAGGGACAACATGATCTATACTGACGCTAAAAAAACTTACCAGTCCAACACAATTCAGTAGCTCAAAAAGTCGTTCATTTTCTTCTCCAACTAAATATGATAGAAGATCCAGAGGATTACAAAATTAATGAAGGAAGTTATACCAAGCCCCAGCCAATGAAGACTTTGCACTACGCTCACCCCCTTCCCCTCCCCCCATCGTAATGATTCCAAGTTGCCCAAGCCTCCGTTCTAAACGAGGGTAAGTGGGAAACCTATGATATAAAAATGAATTTTCACAGAAAAGTATTGAACATTGGCCTCATTGTTAAAGTGAGGGATTTTTTAAACTAGGAAATTGCATTTTTAGCACGAACAGCTTAAGTTGCCTATAAAAGAAGCTAAACGACAAATTACTGTCCTGAAGCCTGCGTACAAACAATTCCTAATTTCACTACTTGAAGCAAATTAAGGCCATTTTAACGTGGCGCGTGAAGGTGATGTTACACGAGACGATTTACAATGACGATTTTTAGCGCAACACAGAGTTGCAGCATTGTTGCAACATTGTTTCGAACGGTTACAACATTGTTCCAACATTGCATCGCTGTGTAGCGCTAAAAATCGTCGTTGAGAATCGTCCCGAGTAACATCACCCTAGGACTGGGTCGATACTGCTTAGAATTGCATTATGAGGCGTTTGTTACCGAATTTTGACCCTGTTCCGGCGTAGCAAATTTCCCTTCATAAACGGTCGCTGCCTTTTTTTAGGACACTTTGTACCTTTTTAACCTGTTTTTAAGAGTGTTTCTATCAAAAGGAAAGAAGATCGCAACCCAGGTCAGACCCGGTCTTGTCGTATCCTAGGTAATCTCTCTCTCTCTCAGCATTACCTTCAACACTGACACGCCAGAATTCCGAAAAATTTAATTAAATAAACTAGCAAACTGTCTTTCTTAATTGATACATCAGCCCTTTCCATAATTTTCAACGTAAATTCAACGTGGGCTTCAACGTCGTTTTTTTCAAGACCATTCAAAAACGTATTATTTGCCTCATTGTAACTTAATCCAGGGAATATATTACATCCATCATGACTAAAGGCTTGGTTACCAATGGTGGCAACGACCGTTTACGAAAAGAAAATAAGCTCCGGCGTAAGATGGCAACCTCAAAATGACCAAAAGGAGACGTCTGTTGAAACACAGGCTTCGCTACCGTTCTGTATCTCGCACTTTTAAGTAAATGAAAATTAGAAATCTAAGAAAATTCAGTTAAAAACCGCGACAAACACACGCACTTAATTATGTAACCCTTTAATCCCGTCACAATAGACAAATTTCGATAAATTAAAATTCATTCTTCGTCCGAGGCGAAGTAGACAGCGAGCAGTCTCTTATTTTCCTTTGCAAATTTACGAAAGCTAAGCACGCGAGGCGCGATAAACGAGGGAGTAAGCCCGAGAAGGAAAAATAAGAGACTGCTGACTCTTTTGTTCTGTCTGAGAACAACAAAGCTGTCAAGGTAATTTAATTAACCAATTAAACCCGAGTAACTTGAAACAAGAACATAAACAACTGAATCCTAAACCCTTATTGTAAACAACGTCATGGTTTCCAATTGACCACTCCAGAAAATACCATAACATACCATAATGTTCTTTGTTCGTCACCCCTAAATTTTGCGTAAGCATTGTTTTCAGTTTCTCTTGGGGCCATTTAACTCCCAAGAGATACTGAAAACAATGCTTATGCAAAATTTGGGGGTGACGAACAAAGAACATTATGGTATGTTATGGTATTTTCTGGAGTGGTCAATCGCGCTGGCTGAGATAAGAACTACAGGCATTTAAAGAGAAAAGGCGGACTGCAAGCAGTCTAAGGCGAAGGGGAATAAAACAAAAAAACTGATCTAGAGGCTCAGCATTCTATTAACTAAATGTGGATTAACAAACAGTTTTCACTTAGTTATAATCACACCCCATACCTGATTCGCAATTGTATTCAAGTAAATGGTCTTCAAAGGGGTATGTTAGCTGAAAAGGAAAACTGAGTCAGTTGCTCGTATCAACTATAACATTTATAAGAACGGAAAGTTATTTATTATATAAACACCAATGAAATACCAGGTGAGCTTTCGCGCGAAAAACTTGATATCTTCACATGTGAAAATATCACCGTTGCTATGGCTACATAATAAATCGCGCCTTTCACACCAAAAAACTATCAAACTGAAATGGTTTGGTAGTTCATTGGTGTTTATATAATAAATAGACCATTACATGGTCGCTTGGAGATACGAAATTTCTCTTGTTACAACTTCCATGGTAATGCATCCAAGACTTTCGACAGTTTTTGCATTAAAGACGACGTGTGTGATTGAATAACTTAACCCTCCGCAGACCAGGCGTTTTTCGCTTCCCGCCACTGGGGTGGGGGGTTGGGCTCCAGAGGCCCCTCTCTATAACTTCAAAACCGCTCATGCTACGGCCACCGAAAATGTACTCATCATTTCCAACTTCTGAAATTATGACGTCACATTGTTGATTTATGGGCAGAATCCAAATTTCCCTCCAAGTACACATTAAGCGAAAGATACTAAAATAGTAAGGGGTTAAATATGATCAAGAAGTTGGCTAACATATAAATAACCTTTAACAATAGCAGTGATGTCATGATGACGTCATTTGTGACTAAACATGGAACTGGAAGCATCCGCCAAGTTGGATTCGCCATTTTGAATTATTTAAAGGTATTCCATTTTACTTAAAAAATCCTACCCTGGTCCCCGAGTTTTTTATTGAAATTTTTCTTCGCGAAAGAGAGAACGAGCGGCGAAGCAGTGACAACTAGTTCCTCTGGGACCAGGGTATCAAAACCCTAATAAATCGAGGAACTCTTAATAGAAAACTTAATCTGAGTATAAAAGGATGCTTAGGAGACAAAAAATCTGCAAAATCTGCAAAAATATGACATGAACACTGTTGAAAATTAAACTCAGCATCTGCCAACAGAGACAATAACTTTTTAAAACCTATTTTTTAAAGAAATATTCAACTTTTTTAAAACATACCCGCCAAAACTTGGTTGCCATGATAACGTCAATGTTGACATACACGTCATGACGACTTTCAAATGTTCCCAGCTAATTTTTAGGAAAAGTCGCTAAGTTTGGTAATCATAGCTTGAACGGTTCTTAAGTTATTCAACTTTTTCGCAGGGAAGTGGGGAGGGGTCCAAAAGCCCCCATGGTCTGAATCGGGATAAAAGCTTAAGGGACGTTAAGCGGACATTTTAAAGGGCTCGTAAATGCATTTCATTTTGTAATCGGGCATTGAGTTCCAAAAAGCAGAGAGATAAAGGAGATAAAGGGAGATTATCACCGAAGGCGCATTGTCTTGATGCTTAAATATTGAACAATGTATTTCTGAAGGGTCACTCAATTAGCCTGCGAATACAGCCGTTTCTCCGGGCTCCTTGCCGCTGGGGACGTATCGCCAGGAGAAACGTCCGCGCCTCAGCGACAGAAATTCCATACTGATGACGTAAATCAATGTTTCAATAATAAATCCGGTAAATTTGTAGAATTTTATGTTTCTCCTGGTCGTTTATGGTAATGTCTTGTGTTCTACTGCAAACAAACTCCAGCAAAACTCAGATGCTTTTTCTATTTTTAGGAATATGACTGTTTTGTAGTAGATTCATCACGTTTACTACCGCGTTTACATTTGGCCTTTGTGGCCTTTTGTCTTTTGTCTGTCATTCGTAAACATAAGGTAAAACAATATAACTGCTATGTCGCCCAATCAGAGCTCCTGACCAGATTCCGGACAGATTTTACGTCATCAGTATAGAATTTCTGTCGCTGAGGCGCAGACGTTCCTCCTGGAGAAACGTCCCCAGCGGCGAGGAACAAGGAGAAACGGCTGTATTCGCAGGCTATCACTCCATAGGATTTCAATCCATCGTTTTAAAAGGGCTAGAAGTCAAATACGTCCCCTTTGGGACCTCAAACTCGACTAATGTAAGAGGAAAGAAGTGAAACGCACACATGAAAAGTTGACCATAAGACTGTATCCAGCACCTGAATACCTTTACTGCAAAGGATCTTGTGTTACCTGTTGTCGCAATGTACCGTCTGTGATAAATGCCTTTTGTGGTAAGAAGAAAACAGCTTTGGGGCTTAATGGAAGAAATCGCAAGACTTCCCCTGTAAGATAATTACAAATAGAAGTTACTTATTATTTCATTGATACTTGTAGTCACAGGAATAAAACAACAAAACAGTTAAATTTAGTGTTATAAAATCCCACGCAGAAACTTTGCAGAAGAAGTCTCATTTGAATGGTAATACCATAGGAGTTCGTGCAAAGGTTCCAAAATTCGAAAGACGAATATTCTCGACTCTTTAAACATGATATCAAAATTTGCACTTTCATTTATTGTCCCTAAACATTTTCTTTAGAGGTAGTGGGAGAGGTTGATAAGGTATCACTGTAATTCATCTTGTGTGTTCATGTGCTTAATTCTCAGTACCACTTTGTTTTCTAAAGCAAGGAGAATTATGACTTTGATCACTCTTAGAGCTAAAAGGGTTAACGTGAGCTACATTCATGGACAAAAGTCTTTGGGACAGTAATGCAGTATTCATATTGTTCTGTCATTTCTGGGTTCCCTCATAAAAACGTGCATCCTTTTTGAAATTTTCTTGCAGTTCTCCCTCCCCCCACCCGATACAAACTTGAAACTCGGAAAAGAAAATTCTGGATACTCTCGTCCAATTTTGTTTGTCGGGTGAGGGGAGGGGTTGGGCCTGTGTGAATTGGAAAACGCCTCAGAAATGCAAAAGTGTCCCAAGACTTTTGTCCATGATTGTAGGTGTTAAAAGAGGAAGTTAAACTAAAACGAAAGACTGGCTGTTGCAGTCTATAGCGGAAATGACCTGTTTCGATGAACAAACCATACCTGAAATAGGCTTCCATATGCCGCAAAGAACTCTAAACAAAGAACTCTTCCCACTTCCTTCCAAAAAAAAATGCAATTATGAATTTTAGTAAAAACCATTTCCAAATTGATGATCAGGGCGTACATTTCTGCTTTAATTTTTACCTGTACATCCAGTTATAAGGATATTCTTTCCATGACTGATTTCTAAGTCTAGATCTACAAAAATAACAAAAAAATAATGATAGTTTATCGCGTTTATGCACGACACATATCCAAAAAAAGAACTAACAACAACATCCATGACAGAATCTTCAACAACCCCTTTCACTTCACCCCTCTAAAGGCAGCAACTAACTCACTAATTTTCGCCCCCCAAAATTTTGCATTTCCATTGTTTCCAATTTCTTATGGGTATTACAGTCGTCCCAAAAGAAATCAAAGACAATAGTTAGGCAAAATTTGGGGGGTAAACTGACAAGGTGCATTATGTTAAAATGATGAATTTGCAAACCAGTAATCTCTTTGCCCGCGCAAATCAAATATGAATCCAGCCGTAGCTTAGAAGGCAGCTCATCATTGCAAAGCCTGCGTGCCAGGCTAAGGTATTCCAAAGAAAAAAGGGGGAAATTATAAGCGCGCGGACACCGCAAGGATCTGTCAGTAGCGTTTTCCCTCGTCAATTTCTTAACTCTCTTCAGAACGCCTTGATGGCGGTGAAAGGTTAACACCCATCTCCATACTCCAAAATGACGCTGACACATTATGATTCATACACAAAGCAATGACCGCATTGACCATCAATACTGATAAGGGTTAAGCCCTGAGAATAGTGATTAGCGTTAAGTACTGGCTCGATAAACGGTTAGCTTCTATTTGGGGTTAGGGTTGTTGCTATATATCTTCAAATCAAACCATTAATCGTCGACAATTCCTCAGTCGTAGTGGTATATGTGATCGACTACAGATTCATCGCTCCGGGTTCGATTCCTACTCACTCTCTTCTGAATTTTTTTCTTCAAAAACTGAAGGGACTTAGACTTTCATGGACATTTCTCAAGCAGAAATTTCAAGAAACAGAGAAATTTCATGTAGGAAAAGGGAAATGTGAGTTTGGAGTATGGAGTTGAGTGCTAACAGCGGTGAAAAGGTTTCTTTCAACTCCCTCCTCCTCCCCCTGTCCCATCCTCTGCGTCTTTTACTTTCATTTGTTCGTACTTTTCATGGGCCGCACCTTTACTAGGGGAAATTTATTGTATCAGAATTTAATGACGGATTTTATCCTTCTATAAAAGCGGCTATGGACCACTGTTTATCCATAATCAGCCATATTAGTCCAATAGACCATTTTTGATATATTAAAATTCATACTTGGCTCCGAGGCTTGCATTAGGGGAACAAAACAAAAGAAAAGTATTATTTAGTATTGAGCCTCAAGATTATTTCTTTTGTTTTATTCCCCCAAGCCTCACGGCCAAGTATGAATCCTAATATATTGGAATTGGTCTATTACATTGTTTTGTTGTTGCCCTGTACACAGGGCTCAGGCAGTGCAGCAAAAAGGGGGGTTCAGCTTTTGAGGCAGGAAGAGAAGGCATTAATGGCAAATTAATAGGAAAATCTTAAATTAACCACCCTACCTCTGACAAGAGGGTCCGTACAGTTTGGTGGCGAGTATGATATGCAACTGAGCTTGAATACAGTGTCACCATTGCCACCATGTGAAGCTAGATTTTCATCCCTACAAAACGAGAGATGTTTGAAATACCTCTCCAACTCAAAGAGACTGAATTTAAATTAATCCTCACAGACACACACAAAAAAAACAAGATGAGAGAAAGAAAATTTACCGTAAAGATTCTTGATGTTCTTTTTCAAGCTGCTGTTTATCGCTTTCATTAAAGTATTCTAGAAGCTGCCCAATTCTGTCAAACGAAAGAAAAAGTGAATGAATGGAAACAAAAGAGGAAGCATACAGACCTTTTTTTCTGGTATAATAATCAGCGGTCTCAAGGACGTTCAACTGGAATTACGATAATCTGAAGAAAAGTGGTAACACTGTGTTGTCTACTAAATAGGAGATAAAAATCATAGTTTGGTTTAAAAAAAAGAGAAATATAGGCCTCTTAACTCTTAACGTCACAGCTACGTTTGCACTTTTTTCTCTACTGTGTGTATCTTGTTTGAGCTACGCACATCAACCGGAAGTGGACTTTTTCCATTCTTGTGTAGTGGTTAACTCCAAATAAAACCTTTCGGACAAATCGTCTCTATAAGAGTAAAGACTCTTAGCAATACAAATTTGGTTGGGCAAGCCAGAGACTATGGTCAAGCCAGCAAGCCTAATAACTGGGGAAAACGCTTTACTTCCAGTTGACGTGGTTTAGCTCCCCCTCATAACCTACCTGTGAACATATCCAGCCATGGACGAAATATCATTTGATAAATCAATGATCTTGGTCCAACAGTTGATCAGGTACATGGCAAAGAAAGAGTTCTACAATTTATAAAGAAAAAAACGAACAATTCAATACAAAAGGCTTTCGAATTAAATTTTACCAGCATCCCTCCCTCCAATTAAAAAGCGGCGATAAACCTTACAAATCTCAACCGGGCAAACTTTATTAATCAGTTGACTATTAATAATAATTATTATCCATTGAAAACATTCCGCTGTTTCTGATTGGCGTTAATACCCAGGTAAATGTTTTCATAGCCAGATGGCACTTACCAAACTTGGAAGAAGTGGGCAATATACACGATTGATTATATTTTGCTTATTTAAAATCACAACCTTATTTCCAGGCAGTGACGCAGCGGCAGCCTAGCTGCTTTGGCATGAGTGTACAACTGTAAAACATTGCAAAAGAGTTCATCGCTATCCGAAGACACAAATAGCCAAATGACTAAAGAGACATCTGTTTTTTGAGGAGTTACTTGATGGAAAAACCTCTGTTTACATTATTATGAAACTGTGTCGAGAAACAGGCAAATATTTTGAAGAAAGTCTACAAGAAGATGAGGATGTTATGAATTTAGAAATACTTCAAATGCATAACAAACAATTACGTATTTTCAACTTTAAATCATTGAAACACGTCACTTACTTATCGATAGAAGGGTGATTTACTGATGGACAAACTAGTCGGCTGTAGACAGACTGTACACGTATGATAATACTGTCTGACTGACCTACCAACTGATTGACCAACCGACTGAATGACCGCCCAACCAGCTGGCTTACAGACTAACGACTGACAGGCTGTCTGACCAACTGAGTAACTGACAGACTATGCAGGCTTTCTGATTAATTCAGTAGCTAACAGACTGTCTGGCTTACTGATTAACGACTGCCTGCCTGACCAACTGATTACCTGACTGGCTGGCTAACCAACTAACTAAACTAACGACCAACTGGCCACCTGGCTTACTGACTGACTGGTTAACTCACTGACTCACTAAATGGCTGCCTGACTTGACTGAAATACTGTCTGACGGATATGCTGAACGACTTGTGAATCTCAGTAACACTCATTGGAACTACAGGTGAAATAATAATACAGGCAATGTAGCAGTATTCTCTAGCAACATACCCTACTGATCTGTGCGCTGAGTTCAGTTACAGACATGCTATCATACATTCCACCAAACACAGCAATGGCAATTATAAGATAGCTGAAGATTGCTCCCAGATAATCAAATGCATTTATAGAAACTGTCAACATAAAAAAGAGCATTATTGTGAATAACGTATTAAAAAAGTCAACATGTTTAAAGTAAGCCAGTGGCTATTTACAGGGCAGGGGACCCACACATCAACTTGTATTTGCTATTCATACGGGATAAACTCTCTTCATGAAATTTCCACGAAATTTCTAAGGAGTCTCTTAAAATGTTTGCTCAACAAATGTCCATAAAAGCATATGTCTCTCCAACTTTTAAGAAAAAAATTCAGTGACAATTTTTAAGAGGAAAAAATTCACTATGGAATGACCGAGGTCGGAACCCGGGGCATAGCGACTGCAGATGATAACCTAAACCACTACAGAGGCAGATCCAGGGGAGGGACCCGGGGGGGGGGGGGCTGCCTTCCCTCCCTAATTTTTAGACCCAACTGAGGCCCAATTGTCCCCGCCCCCCCTTATCTCAGGGTCTGGATGGCCCCACCACTCCCCCCTTAACCTGGGGGTCTGGCTCCCCCACTTCACCATCCCACCGTGCCTGGCTTTGGTTCAATTTATTTAGCGGGGTTTTCATTTGCGTGTCCAAAAGTAATTGGTTTTGCCCTTTT